ATGAACTAAAAATTGTTTTTATGTGCAATTGAGAAAAAATAAAATAATAGACTTAGTGAGGGAGAAAGGGGAATATTGTTATTATAACTAATCCAACATGAAATGCATACTGTCCATCTGTTACCCCAAATGAATTTGTACATTCATTCAATATGCCACGTTATTTTATTAAAGCAGGCATGTTTGCTACAAATGCATAAGGCTTATGACACAGCCACAGCTTGTTAAATGAATCTTGCTTTGTTCTGTAACCTTACCTGGTGGAGTTCATGGAGAGAGAGCAGAAAAGGGAGGGGGTGGAACAAAATATTCATCTCATATTAAATCAATGCCAAAGTTTAATTTTCAGTTCTTGGCCATGCACATTTCCATAAAACTGAAATGACTGGTCCACCTATTTATCAGTAAGCAGGTACAGCTGCAGGCAGGCTAAATCTTAACCTAAGCAGGACTGACACTTTCAAAGGGTCTCATAGCTCAAAGAGCAAATGAGTTATGAGAAATTCAGAAATTAAAGTGACCCTCAAATAACAGACTCTGCCCTTATCTGGAGTCCATGGTTGCTATGGAAAATAACGAGAGTGGTAGCAGCAGTACCAAGAGCTCTCCAGCAGAAGGGTATTCAGAGGTAGCTGGATTATGGGGCCTGGCCAGGCTTAATCTTACATGAATCCAAAGAACAGTGAATGTCACAAACTCTAATTCTCAATATATTGTACAATATGAAACAAATTTGAATTTTCCACATATAGCAAAATATTCCATTGCCTAAAGAACCTGGCCTTTGACTCCTGAACCCTCAACCACACCTCCAACAGACCTTGATGGTACTACTAGTTTTTTGGTCTGGCTATTGCTTCTGATTCATTCAGTTTCAATCCTAGCTACTGACTTTGAGGGTTTTTTTTCTTTCTTTTCTTTTTTCTTTTTTTCTTTTTTTTTGGCTAGGCAATGGGGTTAAGTGACTTGCCCAGGGTCACACAGCTAGTAAGTGTTATATATCTGAGACTGGGTTTGAACTCAGGTCCTCCTAACTTCGGGGCTCTATCCACTGTGCCACCTAGCTGCCCCAACTTTGAGGATCTGACATTGCACTTTTTATCTCACAGGATTATAATCTAGAGCAGAAAGGGATATCAGGTGGCATCTAATCCAAGCCCCACATTTTTACAGATGAGGAAGCTGAGGCCTGAGGAGATTAAGCAACACCCCTGGCCAATAACCCCTCAGATTGCTCAAATTACCATTCCTTCTCCACTCTCACCCCATAGCCTATCCACAAATATCCCAGCTGAAACTTCTTCCTTGCTCCTCAAGGCATGGGTAAGGACCACAGAACTCACCAGACCAACGGTTTCTGTTGGTTATTGGCCCTGGGAGGAACAGAAGATGCTGAAAGCCAGTGAATATGGAAAGGCTGACCAACTGGCTTAGAGATGACACTTCAAACGACTGACTTTAATTACATTCCATTAAAACACACCCAGGAAAAAAGTAGGAAGAATATAATCAGCATTCTCCAGGTCAAGTCATTTTTAGATATGTTTGTTTTAGAAAATTCTTGTTATACTAAAAGCAGTCCCAAAATTTTGTCATACTAAAAAGTCAAGTTTCCAAAACGATAATTCAACTCTCAAGCAAAGTTTCAAACTGGGACATCATAAATTGCTACTGATAAGATGCTGATTTTAAGTGGTCTTCCTAAAATCCCCAAAACTTAAAGTTGGGATGCCCTTTAGATGTCATTTTCCACAGTCTACTAGAAGAAAATAAACCACAATCAGTGTTTTCTCTTGGTTTCACAAACATCCAGCAAGTATTTGTTAAAGTACCAACTACTATTCTAGCTACTAGGAATACCAAGAAAAACTGAAGGAATCCTTGCCCTCATTCCACTTCATGACTATATATAGATCAACACAAAGAATTAATTTCCAGGAGTGCAGAGAGAACACTAATAGCCAGAGTGCTGAGGAGGAGGCACCTGAAATGAAACTTAAAGGGCATTAGGAATTCTAAGCGGTGTAGATGAGGGCAGCACATTCCAGACATGGAGGAACCACATGGATAAAGGCTTGGAGAACAGCACTGGATGGAATGAACATTCAGGAAGAGTCTGTATGGAATGTAGAATGCATAAAGGATAGGAACAGGAAAGAAATCGAAAAGGTAGGCTGAAGGTACCTTGTGAAGAGCTAGAAATGCCATACAACACAGCTTATATGTTTTAGCCTTGAGGAAATATAGTGACCTAGAATAGAAGGAATTCTGGTTAGCACTGGAATAGCAAGGTCTATATGTGCCAAATTTTTGTATAAAACTCCTCAACTGAAGCAATTTGGCTATCAGGTCTGTACTACTAGCGAAAAAAAAAAAAGATTGATACAAGAAAAAAAAAGGATCAATACTAATAAAGAGATTGTAGCTTGATAACTGATAAAATTTTAATTAATTGTATGTTAATCTAATGTAAATGTATTTGAAATATAATTTTAAATAACAGGTATGCTTCTTATTCTGGATTAGTTATGATAATGTTCTCCTTCCTCCCCACTAAGAAGGAGTTTAAGCATGATACTACCCATGTCTGGCATGAAGTCACATTGATCCTCTAAACATTTCAAAGCCTCTACAATGAAATTCATAGAAATTGCAAAAGAAATTATTCTGAACATCCACATGGATAGTGGATGAAAAAATGCAATTATTCAGAAAGTAACATGCAGTTACTGCAGAGCTAAGAAGACCTGGATTCGTATTCCACCTCTCACAAGAATTAGCTGTGTGACTCTGAATGACTTACTGAACCACTCAATGCTTTCATCAGCTCCTATAGGTTACAGAGAAAGTGCTGACTTTCATTTGCAGATGGAGTGTCCTCAGCTGTGAATTCCCTATACCAATGAAATCACAAAGCCAAGTACCTCTCTCTGTGTGTATGTTAATATACACCCACAAACACATTTATAGGCGTGACAAATAGATGCTGAGCTTGGCTCAAAACTGCGTAAGAGGATATCAGACTTGATTGAACTGAGGTAACATTTTCAATGATCGTCAGCCACGTATTGTAACATAAGTTCATCTCTACCACCAATATTCTCCCCATCACATAGAAGAGGCAGGAGTAGATCCCTAGTATATTGGGTGGATCTTCCATGATCCATTTAGGAATAGGGCAAGCTCTTTCACCATATCACACACCCAACTGCTGTGAATTAATGTCCTCCAGGTCTCACCCACAACCCTGCCTCTGTGCCTTCAATAACACTGGGCATTATCATCAAGCTTCATGATACAACTTAAGAGATGCTGGGCCTTGCCATTCACCCTGTCAGTGTAACGTGAAGGTTTTAGAGTCTTGCTGTTCTCCCAGCATCTGAATTCTTTTATGGATTACCTCCCCTGATTAAGAGAGTTTGAACTACTGGTGAGCAGGGGTCTCTATTTTTTTTATTTTGTATCTTCAGCACTTAATATAGTGCTTAGCACTTGGGAAACACTTCACACTGATTTTACCCTCACTATATTACAAAAGTCTATCATAAAGAATAAAACAATCAGGGGGCAGCTAGGTGGCACAGTAGATAGAGCACCGACCCTGGACTCAGGAGGACCTGAGTTCAAATTCGGCCTCAGACACATAACACTTACTAGCTGTGTGACCCTGGGCAAGTCACTTAACCCCCACTGCCCAACCAAAAAGCAAAACAAAAACAAAGAGTAGAAAATTTTTAAAAAAATAATAAAATAATCAGAAATGAAAGTCTGACAGAATATGAAGAAAACATACAACCAACATCAGATAAACTTTTCCAATGACAGAGATGAGTCCCACTTTGAGAAAATCCAATATAAAAAAATACAAACATGTGAAATAAATAAATTTGGCGGCTCATGGGACTATAAAGCCAACAGTAATGCTCTTGTGCATGAATCATAAATAAATGCTTTAAATTGTGTACAATTTTCTGAGTTTTGTTAACCCAAAACAAATTTACAGTGTACCAAACATTAACTTTTTTGCCTCTTCTTTTTTTTTATTGTTAGCATTAATATATCATTGCTGTAGCAAAACCAAAGAATGTTCAGCTCCAATATCACTTCTCCAAATAACATCAATAAGAAATTTTAAATTAGGGGAAACTCCTAAGTGTATCCTGAAATTATTTCAAAATGAAAATCATGTGAAAAGACTTAGTGATATATACAGTATTCTCAGGACATGAATTTTAAAAATATTCTCACCGCAAAGGCCAAGTCATTTAAAATAAGGAAACACAGAGAACAATGTAATCATTCTTTCTGAACTTCTTAGAGATTTTCAGCCATGTTTCAAAAATGTCCTCTTTCTCCCTTCTCTTCATATAGAATCAAAGAACCTTAGGCTATGACCATTCTTTTCATCTTCAAAAAATGCTTACTGGCCCAATGGGATGAGACAGGGAGAAAGAATCACAAGCCAAGAAAGCCTCACTCATTGTCTTACAAACAGAAAAATAACTATTCATCAGGCCTCTCTTTACAAATTTGCTGATTTGTGTAGTTTTCAAAATTATCTAGTATACTATTTTATCCACTGAAATTTATGGCATCTTAAGAACATTATTATTTGCTTTAACTATTTACAGATTCTTTGTAAATAATGCTACTTATAATTTCTGTATAGCTGGCATGAAAATAACAAATCTACAAGTAATTGCTTTTGGATGAACTAGAAATTAAAATGAAATTTACCCAACACTTTCCCTTATAAATTCTGAAAGTGTGCTATAAGAGGCAGTGCCACTGACCAACTCTGAAAACAGAATTCCACTTTTTCAATACCATAATCAAGGAAATCACTTGCTCTCAGAAGACACAAATCTCTTCTGCTACCTTAAAGCACCATTCCTTCGATTTGCTTGCTGGCTCATCACTATCTCCAATCCTTCCAAATGCCCTCACGATAAATCTCACCAAGGCACACCGAACAAATTCAGAAAGAAGGAAGCACTTACAGTTGAAGATGCCAGGAGGAGGATGTTCGGTTACCAGTAGACAGTTCTCTTCATCACTGTTATCCCCACAATCGTTCTGTTGGTTACAGACCAGAGAGCCAAGATACAAGCATTTACCACTGGTGCAGGTGAATTTGCACTCTGTAAGAGGAGGAAATAAATAAAGACATAGTCAATGCTGAGTTGTTGTTGTTGTTTTTTTTCCTTTGAACCATGAAAAATTGATTTGGTGATTGAGTCTGTCTAGAGGTATCAAGAAAATGTGAATGCTCTGCATGGCAAAAATGAAGGGCCACAATCAGTATGGAAGTCCTTTCTGCAAAATTTACAGGATAGTACAACTTGCTCATTTCTCAGTAGTACTTGGGCTTCCATAAATTTCTGACACAATAACACTAACTCAATCACACAGTGGCTGCCTTTTGGTCCTGTATGCTTCCCAGGCATAGGTTGGCGCTATGGAGATTTGCTTTCGGTTTAAAAACATCTTTGATGCATTGTCATACCTCTAATGACGAGAAGAACCTGGGTGTTAGTTGCACCTGCAAAAAAAAATGGCACCTGTACATGGATGTAACAGGACCACAGAACTCTAGAGCTGAGATGGGGCAGGGTGGGGAAGGGGGGGAAGCTTATGAAACTAATATGTAGCTCTACCCCAGCTTACTGTGAGGCCCTGGGAAAAAAATACAGTTCTTTATCCAGCCCTGTGGAAAACTAGATTTAATAATGACCTACCTCATATGCACAGTGTGACAATAATGATTTTAACGGTAAAACCTGAAAAAATTTACAACTTATACTGCACCAAAGAACCTAGGAAGGATGGTAATAAAAGTATTAGCAATATAAAAGAGAATCATATTGCAAATTTCCACAAGTCATACTATCTAACCCTTGGAGGATGGTGGAAATCACTACTGAAAAAGGTCATCCATTTTTATTAGATTTCAAAATATATTTTTAAACTTAACAAAGTACTCCTTTAGGTATGAGTTACCTTTAAAATGAGAAAAAAGATAACAAAATTGCCATGGGTATAGACATGATATTTGTGTGATGATACAGGATTATAAGTTTAGAGATAGAAAAGACCTTTGAGGTCTTTTATTGCAAGCCCCTCATTTTACAGCTGGGGACACTGAAGCCCAAATAACTTAAGTGACTTGTTCAAGGTCACATGAGTAGTGACAGAGAAGGATTTCACCCAGAACAAAATCAGTAAGTCTTTTCAGTAGAGCATACACTGCCTCTCATTATGAATTTTATATTGAATGATCCTAGAGAATGTTAACTCAATGCTTCCCAGAATCACCAGCAGCAAACAGTATGATGTAGTAGAAAATGTGAAAAATTGGAACACAAAGTCATTGTTGGTGGAATTGTCAACTGATCCAACCATTTAGGAGAGCAATCTGGAATTACGCCCAAAGTGTTATTAAACTACATATACCCTTTGACCCAGCAATACCACTGCTAGGTCTATTTTCAAAGATGATTACAGAAAAAGGAAAGAAATCAATATGTTCTAAAATGTTTTTAGCAGCTCTCTTTGTGGTGGCCAAAAACTGGAAATTTCAGGGATGCCCATCAAATGGGGAATGGTTGAACAAGTTGCAATACATGATTGTTATGGAATACTACTGTGCTATAAGAAATGATAAGTTCAATGATCTTAGAAAAATACAGAAAGACTTGCATGAAATAATAAGGAGCAAAATGAGCAGAACCAAGAGAACATTGTATACAGTAACTGCAATATTGTTTTAAGAATGACATTGAGCAAATAAGTTATTTTGACCATTGTAAATACCCAAATTAACTATGAAGGACATATGAGGAATGATGTTATCTGCATACAGAGAAAGAACTGACAAACAGAAGTTTGTATAGAATGATTTTACATCTATATACCTATTTATGTCTAATGGTAGACATCTCAAAGAGGGGAGGTAAGAAAAAAGAAGAAAAGAAACAACTTTATTATATATTTGAAAGGAATAGCAAAATTGTACAAAATAGATTTGTAGTTTTGTGTGCAATCACTTTTTATTATACTATGCTATGGAAATGCTTGTTTTGTTCCATAAATTAAAAATAAAATATATAAATGCGGGGAAATAAAGAAAAAGCATAGGGTTGGTGGTCAGCAGTCCATGAGTTTGTTCTATCACTTATCTCCTCTATCCCTAATTTCTTCATCTGAGAAGTCAGGAAGTGGTTGGATTAAATGATCTTCAAGGTCTTTTACAGCCGAAACCTTCCATAATTCTATGATCACAAATAACAGACTGAATGGAATTATGGGCCCTGCTATCAGTTATACTAATGACTCATGGTACCACATTAGACAAGTCTCTTAGCTGCTATATAGTGTAATTTCTTCTTCTGCAAAAAGAATAATATAGAATACACCATTTACCTATTGCAGAGAGAAGGAATTTATGTCTTTAAAGCACTTCGGGGAACACTACATGAAGGAGGTAGGCAAACACTTGTATTAAAATTCTAGGGGCAGATGCTTCTACGAAATGAGTGTAGAAAAAACCAACTGGTGCCTCTGACCTAGTTTTTAATAACATGTGCACACATCCCAAGATGCACATGCTCTGATCTAGTCACTGGCGGCCCTTTTTACCAGTTAGAGAATTGGTCTGCTGAAAATGATTAGGGCCACATGTTAAGAGTACCAGTCATGCCAATATCTTCCCATAGACTGGAAATTTTAAAATCTAGTTTCTTGAGTTCACATTTATAAAGTGACAACTTTTTATGTCATGGAAAAAGTATTTTTTTTCTTTTTTCCCCATTCTGTCAAGATGATGAGAAGGCTTTCTTTTGCTTTCCAAAAGAAGTTTTCAACTTTGGCTAAATATCAAATATGAAAAGTACATTAGCCAAAAACAGATACTCCCAAAGTTGTTGAAATGATGATTGAACACAGGGGGGATAATACTACAGTTGAATCAAACTCAAATCTAAAAGTAGTGCAGTACAAATCATCTATTACTGTAACCTATGTGGAGTTGGAGCTAAACTGTTATTTTTAAGTCTCTGCAGATCTCTGAAACAGAATAAAAGAAAAACACAGAAAATTCTCTCAAATTTGAGATTGTTGTTCAGTTGTTTCAGTCATGTCTAACTCTGTGACCCTATTGGGGATTTCTTGGCAAAGATACTGGAGTGGTTTGCCCTTCTTTTCTAGCTCATTTTACACCTAAGGAAACTGAGGCAAATGGGATTAAGTGTCTGAGGCTGAATTTAAATTCAGGTTTTCCTGACTCTAGGCCTGATGCTCTATCCACTTCATTACCTAACTACCCCCCCTTATTTCATACCACCACTCATATTGTCAATGGAATATAATTTTGAGCTCATATGTCTATACATCATGGCTACTACTTAACTGCTACTCCCCCCTCCCCCAAGTCTGGCTTTAATAAACAGGCAATAGTGTTTGAATTAGTCTCCATTTACATTCCAAACAATTAAGGAGCTAAAGTTGTTGGTTTGTGTTTGTTTTTTTTTTAAGTTTGGCCCTTAAGTAAACTTCCTATTTCCTCTTCACTCCATGCCACGGTCTAAATAAGATTGCACTATTAATTTGCTTGACAAACACTATCTTCATAGATAACACAAAAGTCAACATTTCAATCTATCTCAAGCAAATTCCAAATTAATGAAATCCAAATTAATTACCATTTGAATTATAATTAACTTAGTTTATATTAAATAAAAATTACATCATTTACAGGTGAATTTAAACCAAAATTGAATTAGTAAATTGTATCAACTCCCCAAATACCATATAAGATATGCAGTCTTTTACTATAATGTCTTCAAGGTCACGTGCTATGACACTACCTTATAGGTGAGACATAATAATAATTGGTGATGATGATGAAATGACTTGTGTTTACACAGCACTTTCAGGTTTGTTAAGTGCTTTATATATGTTAACTCATTTAATCTTCATAACAACGCTGCAAGGTATAAGCTATTATCTCCATTTTACAGATGAATTTTGCAGAGGCTGAGAGGTTAGAAAACTTGCTCAGGGGTCACAGAGCTAGTTTGAGACTGAGGCAGATTTGAACTCAACTCTTCCTGACTGTAAGGCTGGTACTCTATCAGTCTACTATGCCACCATCCAAGAGGCCCAAGACAAATCTGCTTTAGACTGAACTTCACACTTCTCCACATAGAATTTTATTGTGATTCCAGCATATTTATGATAATTTTAATTGATATTTCCTGTAACTACATGAAAATAAGAATATGTCTGATCACGGACAAAGGTTAATAGATAATCATGGGACAAAACATTCAGTTTCCAAAGCTCTATCATGTAATATTGATGCTAAGGAAATTTGGGGAACCAAGGAGACAACTGTTCCCAATTCTGATGTACCAGAAGCCAGAGAAAGTGCTTAAATGCAGCCAAACTGAAAGGTCATGGAAAGAAAAGAATAAGAGAATTTTTGTTCTCTTATTAAGCTTTCCCCTTTTCTTGTGAAGACTGTTTGATAGTTCTGCCAAGTCAGTAACTAAGAGAAACCAAGATTTTTTAAATGTCAGAAACATTTTAGTGACAAATCTATGATGACTTTCAGATGTACAGTGGTTAGATGGGTGAAAGAATGAATAAACCAAGAACCACTGGATTTCCTCAAGGAAATGTAGATTTAGTAACAAAAATATTTGTAGTATTTAAACTATTTTTCCCCAAAGAACTACAGTATATAAAAATGCCCAGAAAAAAAGAAAGAAACCCTTCTTTGCCATCATACTCCAAAACATTGGCCTTCTTTTGAGCAATCTGCCATACCTCCAGCCAGATTTCAGTACCTTCTTTATTGGTAAAGCATAAAGGGGACTGGTTCTGAAGTCAGAAGCTCTGCATTCAAATCTCACGTTTGCTACCTCTGTGAACTGAGACAAGTCACAAACTCCCTTTCTTCATTTGTAAAATGAAGTGGTATTAACTAGATGTTTGAATTAGTCTCCATTTATATTCCAAACAATTAAGAAGCTAAAGTTGTTGGTTTGTGTCTGTTTTTTTTTTAAGTTTACACTCTTAAGTAGACCTCCTATTTCCTCTTCCCTCCTTACCACAGTCTAAATAAGATCCCTTACAGATG